CTTCATAAGGTAATCATTTAACTATTTTTCTCTTCCTTTTTTTTTTTTTTCTAACAAAGACGTACTCTGCACGACCCCACTGCCATGACTTCTCCTGTGAGTGTACCTCATCTGCCCCTGAAAATTAAACTGAAGTTTTAATTGGCACTGATGCATGTGCAGGCATAAGACAATGAAACTGGGTGTTCTGTAACTAGATATCAAAGACAGAGTAAAAGTACAACTCAAGATTAGAGGAAAAAAAAATTCAGAGTGATAGAGCCAAAGGCTGAAAATCAGAAAGTATTGTAAGATGATAAACTAAAATGTTCGGCAATCCCTGGGTAAGATAAATGAGGATATCCTGAAGGGCAGAACAAGCGAACTTGACAGTGAGTAGAAGGAAGGACACCGTGCTGTATTTACTGAATGTTTTTGTCACCTTGCAATAGAGGCTGGAAAAACAGATGCCATCCAAGAAGGCAGATTAACCCTTCTCCTATGCACTGACTTTAAGGAAAGCCAAGTGTGCCCTAGGGGAGCACCCCTGACCCTGGAGGAAGACCACAAACCAGGCAGCCATGCTCCTTCAAAAAACTCTCAAGGCCATCTTCCGACACACATGAGGCTACAAGACGGTCAGCCAGATGCGTCTGTCAGCTCCATGGGAAAGCAGGCACTCCCTCAACTGAAGACGCGCACTAAATGACAGTCCTCTCCCCATTGGCTGTGCTGTGTCCAGGAAGTACAGTGAAAGAGCGCAGATGTCCCCAGCTCAAAAAATCTCACCGCCCCAAAACGCAAATGAAGAGATGCAGTTCCTAGCTCAGGGCTCCCCAGGGAGCAGGAACCCTCTTTGTTTTCCTAACATCTAGCTCAGTGTCTGGCGTCTAGCGAGGTTTAATAATTATGGAGTTAAGAAGTTCTGCTCTCAAACTATAAATATCTCCCAGAGGGTGTTCAGCTAACTATAATTAGTCATTACACCACTGTGGGACTGACAAATGTGGAGTTAACAACAAATGGGGGACTAAGAAATCTCAGAAATTATCCAGGTGTCTACGTTGGGACGGCAAGGAAGACAAAACAGAACACAAGATCTTTATACCCAGAGAGAACAGGATAGTTAGAGGCCAGGCTCTAAAACACACGTGAAAATTCACAGGGATACACAGGAAAAGCACTGGTTTAATCACACTCCATTCATGGGATGTCAAGGAAAACATTTACTCGGTAGTATTCTAACAGAACTGTTGTTTAAGCCAAAATGAATTCTTAATACACACACAGCCTTGTCCTCCCACATTCACAGCCCAAACTCACTGTTTTTATAGCCAACACACAATGCAAAAGTTCACTACGTATTTGCCAAATAAATCAATCAACGCATATTAGATCTGGAAAAATCTTACCTCTGAGGAATAAATCAGTATTTATTTCAACAGTACACATTTGATTTCAAGTATCCATTATTTAGAACCTATGATCTCATCTAACATTTCTATTTTTCCCATCATTCTCAGGGAGGAAAGCTGGCACTACAATTAGCACTTGGCTACACAAATCATGACCGCTTGAATTCTTCTTCAGCAAAACCAAGAACCAACTTGGTGATAATCACTGGCAAAGCTATTGATAACCTCCACTACATAGAGAAAACAAGGTTCAGTCAGAACCAGTTGTCCAGAACTGCTGTGTGTCATCGTGTCTGACCCAAGTGTAAATCTTAACTCACTACATAAGGACAAGGAGAGTGGAGACAGGGCAGGGAATACGGCTGGGAAATGAAACAGTTTCACTGGGAAGGCAGTTGTTCCAGTGGCCAGCAAAAAGTTGATAACTGTGACTTCTATGACATAACACTCTCACAAGACAAAGATGTCAGGGCCATTGTTTCTTATAAGAACAATGGCTTCCAGTTAGCAACACATGGCACAGGCTATGAGATGATGCAGTGTACTGACCTGTATATAATATACACTCAGGGAATTAAAGGATTATTAGGATACCGGATGTCCAAACACTGCCAAAATGCAAACCCACAGAAATAATAGAAGTGCGAGCACCAGCAGTATTAGAAGTTGAAAGGATGACAGCAGCTCTGTTCCACACAATCACATGTGCCATTAACCAGGCCACAAAAGTCTGGCAACCTTAAGCAGATTATACAGTGAATTCACTTTCTTGTGAAATGGACACCCTAAAGAAATAGCCATTCTTCCCTCTCTTCAAATACACACACAACCAGACACAAAAACACCAAAGGTTCAATGCTAAGAAATGTTCAAACCAATAAGTGCATGTATCTTTTTATATTAAAATAACTACGCAAAAATACTCTATCACAACACAGGTTTTAAGGGAAAAAAGAAAAATAATTAACTACCACTAATATGCAAATTTATAAGTCCTAATAGCTCAGGTAGCTGAGCATAACCCATAAGAACTGTGTTACTTTTTTTCTGAAGATTTATTTACTTATTTAAAAGGCAGAATTACAGAAGAGAGGAAGACAGAGAGAGAGAGGTCTTCCATCCACTGATTCACTCTTCAGATGGCCACAACGGCTGGAGCTGGGCCAGGCCAAAGCCAAGAGCTTTTTCTGGATCTCCTAAATGATTGCAGGGACCCAAGGACTTGGGCCATCTTCTGCTGCTTTCCTAGGCACATTAGCAGGAAGCTGGATTGGAAGCAGAACAGCAGGGACCTGAACCTGTGCCCATATAGGATTCCAGAGTTTCAGCCTGGGGCTTTACATGCTGTGCCACAGTGCCAGGCCCAAGAGCTGCAGTCCTTAGAGGCTCTGCCTAAGTCACAGGTACTTCCAAATGCCACTGTCATGCTTGCTGGTCCACAGGAAAGAAAGAAAAGGGCCTGGAATTGCTACCTCCCTGTGATGGTCACCTGCATCCTCATACAGCCTCCATCCATAGTAGCCACATGCAAAGGGGAGACATGTAGTCTTTGGGAACCAAGGACCTGGGAGGGACTAGAGACCACAGCACCAGCCCAGTCCAGAAAGCCGACTGCAGAACTGCTTGGCCAAGTGCACACAAACCTTATACACGTATCCCATATATATACTATGCTGATGTCACAGAAGTGGCTGTGGGACCTCCCACAGAACACCACAAACACAGGCACATACAGGCAAATTCCTGTGTGGTACTTCCAAATAGTGCATAGGTTGAAATGTATACTTCAAAATTTTTTTTAAAAAAAGTTAATATATAATTGTGAATTGTTACAGAATTTGAAGACTTCCAGAGAGATCTTAGCGGTCCCCCAATGTAACTTGCTGTTTAGGTGAGTAAATTAAAGTTAAAAAAAAAAAGTTAGTGGCAGAATCAGTACCCGACTGTCCCTTCAGGTTGTTTCAATGCTTTTCTATTCAGGGAAAATGAGCTTGAAGACTAGATGAGAAAGGGCACAATCATGTTGGTCACCACTTTCGTAAACAACAGACAAGCAGTATGCACTAGTAATTTCCATAACAGATGAGCATGCTGCAATTTTGAGGACTAAAGCCTTAAAGGATGCAATTTTGTTTAGTTAACATTGAATTATGGAGTCCCTTGCTTGAATCTGAGTTTGGGCACACAATCTGTTGCTTCAACCTCAAAGAAATCTATGCATTATGTAGTCTAACTTGAAATGGAAGGCCAAACAGACCTGCAAAAGTATAGCTTCACCCTTGTACTTGATTTATACTAGAGTGCACTATAATTATGCCCAAAATAAAAGCTATATTCTGCATAAAGACAAAAAGCTGTTGTTAATGGCATTCCATCCCCGAAGTAGAATATAACAAAAGGCTCCTTTATTTGGAGCCAACTGTCATTATACTTTGTAGCCTGCATAGAGCTATTGGACTAATATTTGTACTGGGATTAGTATTGGGATAACCAATCAGTTAACTCCTCCATTGCAGTGTCCCATTATCCTCAAACAAACAGCCACAAGGAAAAACAGAAAATTGGCAGGCGGAATGACAACTCTATTTATGAGATTAAACTCTCAAACCCTTCACAGTTTGCTGGGCAACTAATAACCATTTGCCAAGCTGTTCATTTAATAATGAGTCAGTTAAGCCAAAAGCAAATGTTTCTTCAACCAACCAGTGCCACCGTCATCATCTCCACACTGACAAACTCCAATTATTTATGCAGTATACTTCATTTAGAATAAGTACAAGCTGCCCTGTGAGAAAAACCAATACCTCTCGTTAGCCAAATGCAAGCGACACTGCATTTTAAAAACTAAGACAAAGTTGTATGTGATTGTATAATTTATGAAAGCCAAAGTGACTAACCAACAGTCTGGGGAGAGTCACCCATTCTAGACTATAGGTCAAAAGCTAGCCACTGGGGCCAGCACTGTGGCACAGGTTAATCTTCCGCCTGCGGCGCCGGCATCCCATATGGGCACTGGTTCTAGTCCTGGCTGCTCCCCTTCCAATCCAGCTCTCTGTTGTGGCCTGGGAAAGCAGTAGAAGATGGCCCAAGTGCTTGGGCTCCTGTACCCATATGGGAGACCAGGAAGAAGCACCTGGCTCCAGGCTTTGGATTGGCACAGCTCCAACAGTTGCAGCCATTTGGGGAGTGAACCAATGGACGGAAGACCTTTCTCTCTGTTTCTCCCTCTCACTGTCTGTAACTCTACCTCTCAAATAAATAAATAAAATATAATATAATAAAATAGCTAGCCACTCAGTTCTGTAGTCAGTCATCATGTGGCCTAAGGTCACCCTTCATTAATAAAATGCAATGTCACTGATTGTCTCTCACCAGGGTTAATGCAGATGCAGCAAAACACTGCTTGTCAAAGCAAAGGAATGACCAGGTTACAACACACAAATCAGGTCTGACATCATTAATCAGGGAAGCAAAAAGTGACATAGGCAGCTTTGCAAGAAACACTTTATTTCAACCCACCAACACATTGCTCTTCCCCCACCTGCCTCTACACACCCATAAGTTAAGAAAAGCAACCAGCAGGGGATCCCCTTCCCTTTTACTTACTAATAGTTCATCCATACTGGTCTGGCATTTTTCCAAGTTGATCCGCTTTATTGCTACACGTTCTTGCCTGGGTTTGCACAGGGCAGCCTGAACCACAGCAGTAGCGCCACTGCCTGCAACAAAACAAAAGCACTGTCAGCTGTCAAATGGCACACTAGCTCGCTTGGTCCTAAATAAATACGCATGCATTTACAGAGTTGTCTACTCAAGGTATTTAAAACATTACCACCTGACATCTTTTTAAAGAATTTCCTAAGTCCTAAAACAATTACTGATGGAGGTGAGGAAAAGAAAAGGAGCATGTGGATTTTTCTACATGATGTTACATCTGAAGGCACGGGGACGTGGGGTCTGAGCATCTGTGCACAACCTCGTGTGGAAGCCTCTGTCATCCTCAGGCCCTGGTATTTTCTAACTTCGGTGCCTTTAAAATATCTCAGATTCCTTATTCACTTCCGCCCAAACCAAATCACGCTGCCCTGAGCCTGATTTGGGGTTTCCGTGAGACACCGGGACAACGTATGTGTTCCAGGCACTCTGAGTTTAGGTCAGGGCTTTCTCTACACTTAGAAAAACGTGGATCTACCCTGGAAGTCTCATGCTGAAAGCATGATGTTCAAGGATGTCAAGCAACATAACAGCAACGTGTGACTACAAAAGCTCTCAGTACTCACATGAATGTCCTATTTCTAAGGTTTCACGATCATCAGCTAATGCACTCAAACTCCTAGGAGACAGTCAGGCCGTTATCCATATTTTATAAGAGCAAAATGTAGATGTGGAATGATTTGTGGCAGGGAACAAAGAGCTCCTAATCGGATTTATATTCCATAAGGGCACAAAGACCCTCAGGTTAAGGCATCTCAATTCTGCAAATCATACCAGAAGTGTCATTCTAATTATATAAATCCTGTACTACTGCATGACAGCCAGAGAGAGAAATCGCCCGTGCCACGGATTGTACAAAAAGCCGCCAGATGTGACCATCTAGCTTTCTCCCTGATGTATTTCTCCTGGTAATATTTCTCAACTAAATCACTGAATATCATTAAAAAGGGGAAGCAGGTGGGGGATATTTCTGGAAATAAGGAAGCAAGGTCAGTGTCTGCTTTCCTAACAAGTGTCACAGAAAAGGAACTGCATTTCTAGTGCAAACCAAGGCTCCCATGCCCCAAGGAAGTACCCAAAGGCGTGTTTAATGGGGCTGGAGCTCTGCCTTGGATTTTCCCCATGGCTTCACCATCAGCTCTGGACCCTACACTGTAACTCCCCAAGCAAATCACCCTCATTTCTAAATCCAGGTCTCCAACATGAAAGCTCCCATTCCAGGAAAGCCGAATCTAGGACCACTCACTTTCTTGGAAGAAAGTCTACGGCTCTGACCACACCCGGAACAGGAGGCACTTTACTCACGGAACTGCCTTTACAAGCCTGCACAATCCTCTCTCTGTCTCCTTTTGTATGAGAGAAGTCGCACTGCTAGTAAGGGCCTGAGCCGAGATCTGGGCCAGGTGTGCCGGACTCCAAGGGCTCAGCCTGTTTCCTACTTCCCTCAAAGCCAGAGCACACCCTTCCCTTCCTCACTGGCTTTGGCCTTGCTAGGAACATATTTCTTGCAGTCCTATGTGATTCCAGATGGAATCACAAGATGGAATTCAAGATGGAACCACCAAGATGGAAGGTTCTGGTGAACTCTCTCTGCAGCCCAGTTCCAGGAGTCAGTGTCTCCGCCAGAGGTTGGCTCAGGGCCTCCCTTGCCCTGACCTCCCTGCTGTCTCCATCGGCTGAGCTCCTGCCCCGGCAGCTGATCCTCAGAGTCCTCCCAACGCAGGACTCGCCAGCCCTAATCCACAACGCTCCAAACACCAGAGCCAAACACTGCAAAGAGCCCTGCTGCCAGCAATGTGTATTTTCCAGGCCCCTGAACAAGAGTCCATCCCTGAAGGCAGCCACAGAGAAAGTGCTCAGTAGCTGGTCAGCACTGGGGTGGTGCCCAGCAGAGCAATCAACAAACATCTCTAACTAGCTCCTGACAGGAAGCCATTTTTTTTAACCCTACCTGCTGTAAATCTCCCCCAAATCCTACTCTTCCATCCTTAACCCTCATTCTAGAACATTCTCAAATCAGGGGAAATGAAAAACACAAAAGAAGAAAGCAAATTCCCAGAAAAGACAAGGCAGGTTTGTGTTTGGAATAGGGGGCTGTCCCTTATTGACAGCTAAGTCTCCTGACTGCCACAAACACAAGTGAGAACTAGGACACAGCGTAAGGACTGGGACAAGGTGGTGGGCAAAGTCTTTTGTTGGAGCTTTACAGCGGATCACTGTAGCTGCTTTACAACTGCACGGACTGCAGACCATCCAGCTACTTCGCACAGCTACACAGAAACACATGTGAAGCCCCGTGGCCCAGGATCACCACCGTGGAACGGGACTGAATCCTTCATTCAACACAGGGAGAAGCCAATCCGATCCAGAGATCTCCTCTCATTGCAGGAGATTCAGAACAGAGTTGAAGGCAGGGGCACCTGCAGGATCAGCCAGCCTAACCCCTCACTTTACACCAGAGGAAACAAGGGCCCGTGATGGAAAGGGATTGTTTTAATTGTTGTGCAGTGACTGAAAACCAGGATGAGGATGCCACGGCAAGCCAACGTTATCCTCATCTGCCATTCTCTGCACCAGGTTGGTGCTTTTCCAAATTGCCAGTCAGGATCCACTGCTCCTGCCATCAGTGCACTGTGTGGAGGTCAGCATTTTGGGAAAGGAAGTATCAGATGGTATCTCACAAATTAAGGGTAAGAACTGCTTTATGAAACTACGGTTTCAGCTGCACCCAAACTGAAGGAAAACATTTGTTTATTCTGAGTCACTCAAAAACTGCAGACTTCAGGTGGGCATATAACCTTGAGGTTAAGATGCCTACTGTCCAGCCCGCATCTCCCATCCAAGTATCTGCGTTAGAGTCCTGCTCCAGCTCCTGCTATCAGCTGGTCCTAAAGCAGACCCTGAGAGGCAGCAGTGATGGCTCGAGTGATCTGGTTCCTATCACTCATGCAATAAACCCAGATTTGGTGCCCAGCTCTTGACCTTGACTTGGCCCAGTCCCAGCTGTTGTGGGCATTTGGGGAGTGAACCATCAGAGCACTCACTCTCTCAAATAAATATTTGAAATATATATATATATACACACACACACAAATATATATAATATTTTCAAATCTGCTATCCTAGATAGATTCTCAGCATTAGAATAAATCCATAGTTTAAAAGGAAAGAAAGAGGTGACCTGAGTGTGTGATTCTAAAAGACATTTGGAAATAGTCTGTCTTGTTTTCAGGGTTTTTATGTACTTTGACAGTTAAAGAGGAAGCTAAAAGTGGAGGACTTGTAAATCCAAGAATTAGACAAGTGTTAGCAACAAGAAATAAAACAGTAGAAATTAAACAGCACCTTTTCTTTATCTGTTGAATAATATATGCTATCTACATGAAACATTAATATTTAGTATTTTCAAAAAAGTATGCACTGCTTTGGGAGTAAGAAGCTCTTGACATTTTATGAATTCCTCATTTTATTCTGGACTCCTATTCCAAGTGAAATAAAATATTCTATAGGACAACAGCCTGTGTGCATAAGCTCAGAGAGGGGCTTCGACTACTTTCAGTTTAAGGTTTTACATCACTCTATCGCCATCCACAATGAGTGAGCAACTCCAAACTAGGAATAGCTACGTTTAAGTGTGGGGTGGTCAGGACATCAGTGACCATCACAGGCAAGAGGCTCTCTGAGCTGATGATACATTCCTCTGTGTGCTGAGAGCCAGGGTAAAAATGCCAGCCTCTCTCAAATAACTTAATGGAGACAGAGCATCACGTGTTCTTTGTGTGTTCTCACAATCAGAAAGTTCTGTTCTCTTACAGCAACTAACCCGAGCCCAGGCTTCCTGTGACTTCTTCTCTATTATGCAGCCTCTGTTCCTTTATGTTTAATTCAGTAGTACTCCCATTACACAAAGCAGTGTGTCTACAGCCCACCAAAATTCAACTTTCTGGATACATTACTAACTGTTCTCTAAAAGTGGGGGGTGGGGAGGGGATATGCTTCACAGCCACAAGAACATTTAAGGTATAAGAATCAGCAAAATGACACTCACTTCCATTAATTTATCGATGAACAGTAATTGAATTCCTACCATGTGACAGGCAGCTTGCTAGATAATGAAAAGTCCAAAGGTGACCGTTCCTGTTACAGTGGAATAACCTCTCCATGGGATCATTTCCTGTACAGAGGTTAAAAGGGACGAGTGGAACACTGCTGTGGATGGAATGTGTCCCCTGGAAATCCGTATTGTAGAGTCCCAACTCCCAGGGAGACTGTACTTGGAGATAGGACCTTTATAGAGGTAGGTGAGGTCACCTTAGGTCATAGGGATATGTCCGCACAGGAAGACACAATGGACAGCTAGCTCGCCTGTGCTGCGTGTGTCTGTCTCTCTCTCCACCATAATTGGACACAGAGAGAAGGTACTCATCTGTAAGCCAAGACAGCCCTCACCAGAAAATGAATAGGCCAGCATCTTGGGTTCAACTTCCCAGGCCCAAGAAGCATGAGAAATACACTTCTGGAAGTCACTATGGTATTTTGTTCTGGCAGCCTGAGCAGTCTAATACAAAAGCCTTCCACTGTTCTAAGTCACTTGCTCACTAATTCCTATTGTAAATAATACACTACTAATTCAGAGTTGTCAGAAACAAGGCAGGGGCTGGGGTGCATAGTGGAACGCTGGGTTAAGCCTCCAACTGGGATGCTGCACCATGTGTTGCAGTGCCAGTTCACATCTCAGCACCTCTACTTCCAATCCAGCCTCCCGTCAGTGCACCTGGGAGGCATCTGGGACAATGGACCAGCAGATGGGAGATTTACCTTTCTTTCTGTCTCTCCATGCCTCAAGTAAATAAGAAAGCATTTTTTAAGAGTTCTCAGGATTCTGCTCTCCATGGCACTGATTCTCCCTATGATTTTCTGACTTCTATTTAAACATCAGCTTCCTTAATGGGCATAATAAAATCTATCTGTAGGGCTTAATAGAATAATGTCTCCCATGCCCCTA